AACAAATGTCTTCAGTACAGTATACGATTTTACGTTCAACGTTCAAAATTAAGCAAATAGGCACGCTAGTATCCATCGTCAGTACTTGACCCTTTTATTGAAGCGGTCACTAACCGTCCAGTTCCGCTCTATAAACAAAGTGGTGAATGTCCGAACACGGACTTGAATGGCCGGAGCTCTTGTTTATACACGTGTCGCAAGGACAACAGAGATTCGTGATTTCGAAGGTCGTGTTAAGTATGGGATTGGAGTTGTGATAGGGGAACAACACACGTTTATTTGCATTTCTTTCTAAAAAAACAACTCACGTCAGGCTTAGACGTTTCACCATTTTAAGTAAGTTTCAAATTTCGAATGAATAATAATAAATTCATTAATTAATATGATGATGTATATTACGTCATAATTGATGACAAGTCATTTGTTATAACTTCGCCATAAAACGGCGGCGTAGTGTGTTGTTCCTTTCCGTCATTATTTAAATCTGTAATTTTTTGGTTTTTGCTCATTTAGACATGGAATTTGTTCAATTAGTATTTCAAATTATTTTCCTTACAATTTTGGAGATATTTAGATATTTGTTCTGAAGGAGTACTACATCATCTATTTCTTATAAATACAAGTGTTATCTATCAAAACAAATAACAAAGCATCCTTGTTTTTTCAAGGGAGAACTTGACCTGTTCGTACATCTAATAACATTCCCAAACTTGTTTGAAAACTTTACTTCTTATCGCATTCTCAAAACACATGCAAAATTGTCTCCCTTCCTCTATTAAAGAAATACAGTTCATTTGGTTTTAAGCCTTATTCTCTGTGCGTATCAACTAGCTATTAAGATATGCGGATTAAAAAAAGGAGCCAGCCATCGACGTTTGGAATTTTGTGTTGATCAAACACAGATATGCACCTTCATTATAAGATATTATAGTTTTATCACTAAGAGGTAAAAGACACGATCCTTTTTTTTCTTTATGATTAGTAGAAGATTCAGAGGAACATTGAAATTAATTGAAGTTTTGCTTTGAGAGCGATATAGTCGAAGGAAAAAAGTAGTATTTTGTCTGAAAATAAATAAATAAATGAATAAATAAATAAATTGTTAATTATACATTAATTTAAGCGATGATTCGTTATTATCTCTGAGAGATTTCCCAGTCATTTGCTTCACGTTGAAACAAGTCTGGAATACATCTGCACAGAAAATGTTTTGTACGGATGTAATGTTGATGTATGGAACGCACTTCCAGATGACATAAATATCATTTGTCAACTACTTGCCTTTAAAAGTTTTAAAATGCCGATACTGATTTCATTCTTTCACATTATTTCTACTGCAGAAGCAGACGCTGTCAGGTCCAACCGATGCGGATGAACTGAGGATGAACTGCAGCTCCCTAAGCAGTCGCATGTACTGAAGACACTTAATTGACAGCTCTGTGTGTTTATGTAATCGGTCTGCTGAAACTACCATACATTTCCTCCTCCATTATCCTAACTACCAGCAGCTACGAAATTAATGTTTCAGAAACGTCCCTCCTAACTAAAATATTAATACCTTACTACTAGTCCAGACATGCCATTTCAGTATGATAAAACTATTTTTGATTATTTTCAAAACTTAATCAGCCAATCCAACGTTTTTATTTAAAAACTATCTCCTTTGAACATGAAATACTTTTTTTTATTGTCGTGGTATTTACTACAACTATAACATATTGTTCTACATATTGTATCAGTGTTAAAACTGATGTTATAGCTCTGTTGTGTCAATTTAGAATTGTACCTGCAGCATTATATGTATAAGGTACCACTTTTCACAGCATATGCCGCCTTAATGTCATGCAATCAGCGTTTGTTCCTGTAATGCAGAAATACCCTCAGCATCACCTCCTATATTTACACATTTACTTTTTCACTTGGCAGGAATATTCGTCAAACGTTATTCTATATTCAGTATATATTCGGTATATAAGAGGATCGGGTATCGAATTTCCGGAAGATTTTCCAATTAATAAAGTTTTAGAAACCCGCCCTTCAGAGCAATGAAAAATTATATTATCATGACGTCAATATATGTGTCAAGGGAGCCTACTTACATAATATAATAAAGAGTTGCACTCCTTTAAGTAAACCTTGTGAAAATCATTGACTTTGTTTTAATGTCACAAAAATCATATAAATCCAATTATTTAAAAAAAGATAAAACATGCGATAGAAATTTTGTTTCGAGAAACAATTAAAGTCGTCAAAACGGAATATGGTAGATTTTTTTCCATTCCATAATAGTTGACACAAAATCAAGTACAGACGAGTTGTGTCCCTTGAAGGACTCAAAATTGATGATCAACATCGGATATAAGACAATACTTTAATGTTTATAGCAACTGAGAACAACAATCTTACAAATTAATTCTGAAGTTATAACAATGTAATACACCAAAACATTAAAAGAGTACCCCTAAGTTTGCTGTTCTCTGAAGAAAGGAACACAGCTACATATTTTAGTTCAATTTTATTTCTGTTAGATTTTCATCTTTCTCAAATTATGTTTCAGGATGTCAGTGTGTAAGTACCTACTCTATTCATGGCGGATGATAATGAAATGAATGCTACAGTTACAATCATATTACATACCTTACATCCCATATTTTTTTTTCTAGAAACTTGCTGATATTTGATAAACTTTTACATTACATATGGTAAATAGCCCACTCATTTGGATAATGCTAGAATAATGACAGTACTAATTTTGATTTATGACAGATACAAGTTCTATCCTGAATAAATGATTATATTCCAGACCACTTTCATTAAAACATAGATTACAAATTATGTTTTCTTTCGAAATACCACTCCACATTTGAGGTTCTAAACTTAACGATAATTTGCCTTTCTTTTGACTCAAGTCTCACAAGGTATTTTTTCTAATTCATCTTATTTTAAAAAAATGATCATATGAATTACGAAGTACATTTGAAATGTTTTCTATATGTGTATCTTTCAATCTTTGTTTTACAACCAAATTCAAATAATCTCTACCAACCGTACATGTTTGTTTTGTTTTTGTTTCAATATAAATATAGATATTATCCGGCAGATTTAAACCAGTTTCTATAAATATATTTTGAACATTGAATAGTTATTTGAATTCCATAGTTCCATTGGTTTGTGTATCAAACAGATTATATTGTTCACATCTGCTTAACTTCGCGGAGTAGATCTATAAGATATAGTCTACGTCTGTATACATGTATAAAGTGTATCCATGCGTGTATGTGGTGGCAGACTACGACAATGTGTGTCTTACAGTCTGCCTTCGTTATTTCTGGTTTCAAAATATGCTATAGACTTTCCAGGAATTGTGTGCGCGATTCATCAGCGATTCGCGTCACTGATTTAGTAAGTTAATTATTCTAAAGAATAGCCCTAACCACAAACTGATTGCAACATCATTTAAAATGATGGTTATTAGTTTTATATCAGGAAAACTCCCCTGAAATCAGAGACGTCCTTGACCTTTTATTTATGTATGATATGAAGTACTTAAATGCTAGACACAGCAAATCCTTCAGGATATACTCCGTAACAATATCAATTTAAACTCATTTTTTTCAAAACATGTCCAAATCGAACAATGTATGCGATAAGAGACGTACATGACATGTGTTTTTGCAACCTGTACTCGAAAAAAAAAACACCGGTATTCACGGCCATTTTTAATCTGTTTATGGTGTGTGTAACACTTTGTGCAAATTTACTAGTTTTGTTAAGACGAATTTATGTTTGTGAGCACTTCTGCTTTTACATTCTTAAATGCATCAATTGCAATTCGTCATAATTTGGAATTAAATACATGCACCCAGCCTAAGCCCCGGGGATCATCTTTCAACATAAGTAAATGTGATATAATAAGATGTGATGTCTTCATTCATAAGAAGTTGTAGACCTGAATCGTAACGCTCTGATCTGTATAATAATCATTGAAGGTTGTTATTTCTGGGGGATTTTGAACATGGATATTTATGCTATTACGGATTCAAATTTAAAATGAGTCCGATATATACCATACTATTACGGACTAATTGATGTGTAACAGATATGTAGGCTACGACAGATACCTATATAACCATGGTCTACGAGTCCAAGTCGGATAAAATCACTCATCCATGACTGACTGATTGGTTTTATCAGTTGCATTGGAATTTAAGTAAAACGTGTATCATGTATGCAAATAAGTGTTTACCCACACAGACGACTTTATGAATCCCATATAAGAAATACACAAAAGTGTGGATGGTTGGAGTGTCTCTGGTTCCGAAAAGGAGTCCTTCAGGCGTCACTATGTACTTAGATATAGTTAGATATAGTAGAGTCGCCAAGTAATTAATTAAACTGCACCATACAGTTTCACCCTTATTCCTCTCGTCATTGATATTAAGGGACTGAAATTTAAATAATAAGTTGAAAAGACAAACAGACTTAAATTTTCTTTTTTCTTTTAAAGAAGCATTGAAATTTTAAACTCTACAACAATTAATAGGTCTAGAATGATAACGTAACGGTAGCACAGTGGTAATATCCCTGCTCTCAGCTGCAAAGCTCTTGGATCGAATGCTCCTTTCGTTTCTTTTCTTTCATCGAAGGGAGGTCAAATGGTATTTTCTATTTTGTTTCGAAAGGAAACATTTTAGTATGAAACAATTAAATCGTTGTCTGTTTGAGATGTGAAATGAAGTGTAAATAATAATTCTTACATCGTCTCCAATCTCAAAAAACGTCAGTGTATCTCTCTCTCCAGGGGCTTTTTACAAAAAACTCAGTTTGATTTTATAGGAGTTTTCTGATGCAATACATAAATAACACTACGTAAAACAAAGAACGTTTGGGGTTAAGCCAGAGTTTTAATGCACTGAAAACTCTAAAGTTGCGGATATAATTTCCGGTACCGGCTGCGCATGAGCAGAAGCAAGTGATTGACTCCACGTTGAGAGCTCACCGGCGACGGGCTGACAGCGAAAATGGTGTTAGATATTGAATTATTCCGTTCCGATAAGGGTGGTGATCCAGCCAAGATTCGGGAAAATCAAGCAAAACGATTTAAAGACGTTACGTTGGTCGACAAAGTTATAGAATTCGATACGCAATGGAGGAAATGTAAGTAAACTTTACTCAAGAGCAGCTGTTGATCCCCGGGCTAAGTGCCCGGACGTCAAATACTAAAATGTATTTTCCCTCGTTAGATCGTGATCAGAGGAGTAAGAGGAGTTTTCCCTAGTTTTGTGGATCATTTTCTTTCGAGTCTCTCAGTTTTTTGGTTCGTAACATGAACTTTTATTATGATGATGCAATCTTACTACAAATCGAAAGAGAAAGAAATTACCATAACATCATTAGTGATGCAATCATTGGTACTTCCAGCTGACTTCTTAATCGTTCTCTTGATCTGTAAACTTCAATAAAACGATGTGAAAGAAAAGCTTGAAACAAGTTACTTTGAATATAGGCCTGTCTAAATGCAGTGCCTACTCACAGTTGGCAGGTATTAACTGAATGACATCTCCCCTATTATTAGCAGGAGATTGCATCATCACTCTACTGTCATATCGTGTATATCCGTGTAAATTATCTAATTGGTTTGACCTTGAAATACTTTCTGTTCTGTGCTCCTTTCCAATGTGTCCAAGATAAAGATTCAAGCATTGTGACAAAAATCTTTAAACTTAGAGAGTATAATTATGGGTAGATTCTGCTAAGTAAATGTTTATTGGACTGGAAATACATTTGAGTGGGGCAACCTTAAGGTTCAAACATGCAATCTGCTAATTGAAAATTCCCTTCAGCATTCGGATTTGTTCCATTTCAAACCATTGATAAAAGTTATAGGTACCTCTGCCAACAATGCCAATCTAAACAGAAGTATGTATATTCATGAGAATAAAACTGATATGACGTTGATGAATGTATAATGCACACCAACAAAACCAACTAGAATGGTAAACATTGTTTATGAATACAAATAGCAACATTGTTTTCATTGCATCATTTGAGTTTTGTTATTAATTGTAAAGAAAATAATAAATTTTGATATTTCATTTTCATTGAAATATCTTCAATATTTGCTTCATAATTTTTTGGGGCGCATAATATCGATTCTAGTTTTTTGCATAAATTGGTTTTAAAAGTATGTAGTTAAGTGAATGCATTCCAGAAAACAAATTTCTCAATTTTTCTTTTATCAAGTTCATTCCCAAATCTGTTTAATGGTGTGTGTGTTTCATTGCAGTGAGATACCGAGCAGACCTGTTAAACAAATTAAAGAATCTGTGCAGCAAAACTATAGGAGAAAAAATGAAGGTTTGTAATGGTATTAAAGTATATATATATTAGATTTGAATTTTCAAAATTTGTTGCAAGGCAGTAATTTCCTGCTTTATACTAGAAAGCGTGGAATGGTTAGGCACACACATAGCATTACACATATCTGTCCTGTTTTATCTCAGATATTGTTGATACCCCGCGGTACTTGAACTTCTGAGTAGTGACCATGTCTTAAGAGATTATCATAAAACTTAAAGCAAATGTCAACAGTACAATAGATATCATTTTACTACATCTTTCTAAGGTCCAGTTAACAGACAGTTACTATGTATTGAAATTTGTCAATCATTGATACTAATAAAGAAACTTCCAGGGTGCATTCGTGTCTTACAGGCATTTTCTGGTAGTTTTTGTTGTTGAAAAATGCTAGCAGTTTCAAATAAAATTTTGGTTTTACTTCAATTGTTTTGAATATTGGAATTTTGATAAGACAGAAAATAAGCTCATTATGATATCATACAAGCACTGTGCAAATGGTTGCACTTACATAATGCATTTTTGAAAAAATGATTTTCATAAAAATATTGTATCTTCAGAAAAAGGAAGACCAAGGAACGGATACCACAATACCGCAGGAAATGGTGGATGATTTAGACAACCTTAAACCAGAACAATTAATGGTAAGTAGCTTTTTACTAATGCTCAATATATTTGATTTGAACTTCAGTTTTAAAACTGTTATCAGATATAAGCAAGAATGGAAAGGTATTAATGAATAAGAATTGTAAAGTACTATCCAATGCATACATGTGTATATCTTTATATGAAGGCCAACTGCATAACATGCAGACATAAGGACTTTGTCAACATTAACCAAGGCATATTGAGCGACTTTCAGGCCAAGGATTGAGAAAACCTTAATAGTACTAAATAAAGGAAATAAAAAAAAATGAGCCACTTCAATTTCCTTATGAATGATTGAGAAATTGTTGGTAAATTAAGAAAAGTTTTACTTAGTTGTAACTTGTAATCCAATGAGAATGCTTTATTGATTTGATTTCATTTGTAGGGTGTTGAATTTGATCCTTAGCATGTCTAGTCTGACTTAATTTTGGTCTGTGGCAATCATATTTGTAGGAACTGACTGTCACAAAGATCAAACAGGTTCGCATTTTGATTGATGAAAACATCAAGGAGAATGATGCTGGATTACTGAAGAGTGAGTCTGACAGGAACGAGGCTTTAAAAGAAATGGGCAACCTTCTACACCCCAGTGTCATTGTCAGTAATGATGAGGTAAGAAATGAACAACCTTCTACACCCCACTGTCATTGTCAGTAATGATGATGTTAGAAATGTGGTGAATGTCAAAAAATGCCACCTCTGAGAAGTGCATTTATCAATTTGTTTTTGACAAATTAATTCTTTGGGACACTACATTCTCAGTCTCAGCTGTTCTACCTGTTTGACTGATTTGTTTTTGAGTAGTGTTAGGGACAGTTTAATAAAGTTTGGATTTTTTGGACCATATTATAACTTCCTTCTTATGGTCATACTTTGATATTCTGGATGAGCTTTCACTGTGAAATATAGACAATAACTCTTGACTTTATTGGCAATTGAAACTTAATTAACAAGGAAATCTTATTTGTTTTGGAGCTGAAGAGGTATGGAGAATCCTACATTAATCATGATCATCTATTACTACTTCCCTTTGAATGAGCCAGTAGCTCCATGATAAATGTCTGAAGCTTCAGCTCTTGTCATGGACTTATTTTACATGTTACATACTGTACATACGAACATTTTTTCGTCAGCGACATGTTCAAATTTTCACTACTCTACCAGTTATCTGTTGTCTTGAGCCAAGGTCTTCACCAGAATGATGAATTCACATCTTTCATATTTGGTGGATTGTCATAGTTAACTAGTTGTCCTTTTAGGAAGCTACACAGATGATATACTTTTTTTTGAAAGTACATTGACAAAAGCCAAGAAATTTTGGTTAAGGAGATTTTGCATGTATATCTATATATGTATTCTGTGTATAGGATCCCGATTCTTGAAATGACATTTTCATCTGTACATATGCCTACTATGTAGTCACATGATGTTAAATTTGTTTTCTGTATTCTTGTATTCATATCCATTTCTGTCTTTTCAGGATGAAAATGGCATAGAGCGTACATTTGGAGACTGTGAGACAAGAAAAAAGTACTCCCATGTAGACCTTGTAGTAATGGTGGATGGTGTGGACAGTAATCGAGGTGCGGTAACAGCTGGAGGGCGTGGCTATTACCTCAAGGTAAGTAAAAATAATCAAAGAAATAGAAAATATATAAATATGAGAATATTAGCCCCAATTATTTCCTTTTATACTATCAACAAATGTTACTTTTAAAAAAGAATGATTTTTCTGTGTACATGTTCTGATACAGTAAGTAAAAAAACCAAATAGATAGAAATACTAACAAAAAAAAAAAAAAATAATGCAACACAGTATTACAAAATGAATCAACGAATTTAGTTTTCTTTCTGTAATAATTATTATAGATGCAAATTAGTGATTGAATTCTCTAAATGGCTACCTAAGAAAAACATGGAATCTTATGACAGAATAGATATTTACCTAGAGTTAAGAAAGCCTTTGAAATATCAGTATTTGTAATTTTTTTTTCTAAATTTGAGTGATTACTATACTATTGTTGATTTACTTATACAGGGTCCGTTGGTGTTTCTGGAGCAAGCTTTGATTAATCTCGCCATGGGAATGCTCCATACAAAAAACTACACACCACTGTACACACCGTTCTTCATGAGGAAAGAAGTGATGCAAGAAGTGGCACAACTATCGCAATTTGATGAAGAACTCTACAAGGTTGAGATATGTTAAACCATATTTTTCGTTAGTCTTGAATGTAGTCCTTGACTCTCAAAAACCTAAAATTTTCAATATTTGTAGTTTTACTCTGTATCATGTATGTTTTGAGCCCTTTGACTCATACAGTCCTAAATGTTGAGGGTGTCAGGGAAAACCTTAAAACGTTTTAGAATCGGGTAGATTAATGTCTATGAATGGTTGAACTACAGTGAAACTCACTTGTGTCAAATCAAAGACATCGGATAAGTCAAATGTTTGTTTAGTCCTTGACCTTGACTTATCCATGTTTAACTGTAATTAAATTTGTTAGTTTGAATTGATATAACTACATTCAAACATGACTGCCCTGCAATGAACTGCAACTGTAAGCCAGGGGATGGGATTATTGGCAAATATATGTAGTGTTACAAATTTTACATTGTGTTTTGATGACATAACTAGAAATTCTACTCCACAGGTTGTAGGTAAGGGAAGTGAGAAGGCAGAGGAGAGTGGTATAGAAGAAAAATACTTGATTGCAACTTCAGAACAGCCTATTGCAGCCTACCACAGAGATGAATGGATACCCAAAGAGAGTCTACCCCTCCGTTACCTTGGTTACTCAACATGTTTCCGACAGGAAGTTGGGTCACATGGTCGGGATACACGTGGAATTTTCAGGGTCCATCAGTTTGAAAAGGTGAAACATGTGTTAACTGTAATTCCAAACATTTTGTTGATAATTCTTTAGATTAAGGAATATTGAATCTTCACCCATAGATATCTATTTCCTGGAAAATGTTGGACATCTTCAAAAAAAAGTATGAACATCCTTGTTTAAAAAGCAAACTGACAAAATTTCTGTAGTACATAACTGACCAACTTTTATAATTCACAGGAGTAGAACATTAAGCTTAAATCTTCCAACCAAGATGATTGACTTGAAGAATAATAAAGCTGAAAGTCTTTCTTGTTGGATTACTTTTGGAGAGGTTTTTATCATAGAATTGACTTTGATTTATATTTGATATATTGAAAATTTTGAAGATGAGGTCATTGTTTGTTATCAGCCTGACATAATATTTAATGTATACATGCATTATTTAACATATGAAATAACCCAGGATTTCAATCTTCACAGGTGGAGCAATTCTGTCTGTCTTCACCTCATGACAACAAATCGTGGGAACTATTTGATGAAATGATAACAAATGCTGAAGACTTTAACAAATTATTGGGTATTCCCTACAGGATTGTTAGCATTGTTTCAGGTGAGTCTGTCAAAGGAAGAAAATCAGATCTTCTCTGGCCGGTGTATCCTATTTAACTCATATGTTACTTGGCAACAAAATAAAGCTATCACATATTTGAAAGTTCTATCAGCAGACATGCGTTGGAAATTGCATTATCTTGAGCAAACTTAATTTTTCAACTTTGATTTTTAACTATGCCAAATTAAAAATAATAAAAAAAAATTCAGTTGAATAGAAACTCCAACATTTTAAATGAAGAAATAACAGATTTCCCTATAAGAACTTACTTAATTTATCTTGGAAATAAATTCATGTTCTATTGCAGGTGCCCTCAACAATGCTGCTGCTAAGAAACTTGATTTAGAAGCGTGGTTCCCTGCCTCTGGGGATTTCAAGGAGCTAGTCTCTTGCTCAAACTGTCTGGACTACCAGGCACGTCGCCTCAAGGTCCGATATGGACAGACCAAGAAGATGAATCAAGAGGTCAGTGGCTGACATACTGTATTTCCTGGGTTATAAGCCGCACTGGTAAAAAAGCTGCAGATTTTTACGGATTTTTTTGTATTTGATACACATAAAAGCCTGGAATATAAGCTGCACTATTTCTTACACAGTGGTAACTGTTAGTTGCTCAAAGTTTGTTAATATAATATACAACAGAAGGCAATTTCTTATGATTGTCAATGAAATATGTAATAAAGTTTGGAAATGAATAATACACAGAAAATCCTTTTGATGTATTTAAAAAAAAAATTGAACTCATTTGGCTTGAATGTTACACATTGTTTACTAAACAATCTCGCTATCTGTGTCTATACTGTTAAATATTAACAAAGGTCCTTGAATGCTGACCAAACTCTTAAAGTTCCATATTATTTCTTCTTGTATGTTACATGAAGCCATATCATATTGTAAACAAGCGTGGCAGTTGTTCTGGAATTTGACCTTTTAACTAATGACCTATTGAACCCAGGATGCAAAAGGCTATTAAAAACTTCCATTATGGTTTTGAAGTAACTGTCCAGAAGATATTATTGTGATTCATGTTAAGAAGTATGATGAATTAAATCCACCAGAATGTTATTTTTATTTCAATCTTCAAATCATTCTGTACACGATTGCAAACGACAGTTTTAGATGATCTGTTTAAGTCACAAACACATGACGGGCAGGTACTCGTAAAATACACAGTGCCGTCGCGTACTGTTATGTCTTTCTTCCATCCACATGCCTGCGGCTTATAATCTGGAAAATATGGTACCTAAAGTTTATTATTAATTCAAAATATTCAGAGGGTCAAACCTTAAAGAAGTAAATATGACTCAATATATTTTCTTCATGAAAATTGATATTATTTTGCAAAAATCATGCCTCTTCATGTAGTTGTTTTCTTAAGGGTTGATAATCATATTTATATATTCTTGTTGTTGCAGGCTGAATACTGTCACATGTTGAATGCGACGATGTGTGCTACAACTCGAGTGATATGTGCCATACTGGAGAACTATCAGACTGAAGATGGAGTCCTTGTACCTGAGCCGCTGAAACCCTTCATGCCTGAATGTATGTATTGTCACTTATTCTGTGTTTTTATCGAATCTGAATCATGTTAACTTCTTATGTTTCGTTTAATATAATTTTCATGATGTCAGTTAATCATTTTTTTTTGTTTTTTTGGTTATTCTATATTGAAATGATTGATTTTTGCAGAAGTCTACCTACCTCATTAATCTTTATGTAAGATGAAAGAAAATGATAAAAAGGAAACAGTTGTCCCAGTAATGTAATTTCAGGCCATCCATTTAATAAAGGCAGTTGAGGACAGTATTTAGAAATAAATCCATCAATAATTATCCAAGATCACATTTAATTCTACTTTATTGCATTCAGGGATATATTCTTTAAACTTATTTATAACCATTGAAATTGCTGTTAATAGATCCTTTCCACAACATCGTGCTGAACTTATTTTACATTTGATAATTTGTTTTTAGCGACCTGTTTTGCTATCAATAATAACCTGTCTTTTGCCATTTGATACATCACGTACATATTGAAACATCCCTTAGCTCCATAAATAAGATAAATTGATTATGTTGCATGTTCATTCACAGGTTGGAAGGTGAAAATCCCATTTGTTAAACCAGCACCTATCGATCAAGAAGAAGGAAAGAAACAAAAGAAACAAAAGGATGGTCAGAAAAAATCAGGAAAGAAAGGAGGTGACAACCTAGAAAATGATGTACAGAAAATGAACATTGACAAATAGCTTTGTCATTTTAGACTCTGATCTTAATTGCGTTTCTTATCATGCATTTTCTGTGATGTACTGCTAATGTATCACCACATATATCTGGCCAATAGTTATCTGGTCACATAAACTGGAAGTTGCTGCCTGATACATTGTCTAGGTGATTTTACACTTCTCATTGACCTACCCATCTGGTGGTCAGGTTGTCACAAAAATGCCATCCAAACAGATGGAATATTGACGCAGGGTTCATACCTTGGAATCTGTATACTTGAGATATTTGTATATTAATAGTTTGTGACAAGGAAGTAGTCTGTATGTTTCAAATTGAATTGGTTTAGGGACTTAATTATCATTTGTGTTTTTATAATCAAGAACATTTGAAGTTTGTCTTTGTTTCAAAGAGGAAAAAAAAGAATCTACATTTTACTTCATTGTGTGGTGCAATCTTTTTAAGATCAAAGTGCTGTTTGTGTATCAAACTGATATTAAAGTCATATCCCAGTATGTGTTACAATGCTGTCTCCCTTGCTATTAAACCTGGTAGCAGTCACATGGATGTGGGTAATAAGGACAACATAGGTCTTCAGCAGTTCAGTAGGTCATTCTTTTGGATTGTATATCCTGAATTTGAAATTAGGAGGTATTTCATGATAAGATCAAGTGTTTATCTTCTGGCAATGTCTAACACTAACACTACTAACTGTATGTGAATCTTATTTTGTTTGCATGACTTCGCTAACTGTTACAATGACAAGGTACACTTACTCTTGTTCAGCTTAAATTCTCCAATATGCTACACCATATCATATCATGTTACTAACTGAAGTATTCCAAAGAAAATATTGAATATTTGAAATACTGATAACTGACAAACCTCATAAGGTATTAAATGCGTCTATATGTGTTAATATCTTTTGCCGTCTTTTTCTGTGTTACACCAACCCAGCTTTGCCAGTCTGTAAGGAAAAACAGTAAATGTACTTGTGATGCAAAGACAGGGAAATAAATTATTGACTCTCATATACCTTGTTTGTGTTTTTTCATAGACCATTTACAAAGGCAGCTTGGATGCCTATTGACTTACAAAAGTGACAATAATATTCCATGTAATGGAGACGGAGAAGAGATTGGGGGTAAAAGTAGACACCTTACCATTACGCCAAGTGTAGTTTCTTAGCCATTAATTAAAGTACACAGAAGAATTACTCAACTCCATCGCACATACCATGTTAAGAAAAAGAATCTGAAATTTGATAGATACAACTGAAATACTTGCAATATATTAAGGTACCTGAGACAGGGTTTACACTTGCAGGCATTTGATGACAAATATTACAGTTTATGTCCAACAAGTTTGATTAATAATAAAATTTATATAAGAGTTATCCTCTGATATCCGTGGGGTTAACACTTATAGATGTAATGGGTTTGTGATGTGTTCCACCTTGAATTGGTATCAACTGGCTGTCTATTTCCTCCCTACAGGAAAGGTTGCAGTGACACTATATGCATCAACTGAGCAATCACAGTTAAAGTTTTTGAAATATTAAATTAAAGCATAAATTTAACATGCAATTATCCTTATACTCAGTTGGTATACTAGCTTTTGATATGATAATCATATGCCAACGGAAAATTTGGTAAATAAATTACAACATTGAACAGAGATGCATGATTTGTGTAGTAAAAAATATTATAGTAAAATGTCTGTTAAATAATTATATCTCCACAACATCTAGATTTTTTCTTTTTTTGGAATGTTGCCCAAAATGGCCATTGAATAGTTGTTTTCAGAGGGTGCCCATTCCCATGAAAGGCATTCTTTTGAAGTATTACAGAACCTTGACTACCATTTACACATGTCTATTGTGGACAGTAATCAACATTCCAATGTACAGAGGATATGGAGGTCGGGATATCAAAAAGATGGTGACTATACTGCACCTGTTGAAGATATAATAATGGGTTTAGAATTAAAGAAAAAAATGCTTCACAACAATTGTAAAATAAGTTATTCCAACTTATATTAATCACTCTTCTTGGCCTAAATGTGTTTTACTGAAGGAGGAAACTGGAGTACCCAGGAAAAACATATGTTGTTGTTCACTTGGAATCAATTGGGAAATCCAATCCCACAAAATTATTAATGGTGGGTATACAATTAATACTACCTACTAGAAATAAGTGCAGGAACATCAAGACATATTTTATGATAAATTTTACTGACAAATAAAGGCTAATCATTTTTCAGGTGATGTTTGTAAAACATGACAAGTTTTATCAGCATTACAGGTATTGTACCATATTTGACTTAATAATATAATGCTCAGCATGCTGCAAAACATAACAACTAGGGTGTACTTAGATAAAGCAAATATATTGCCCCTTGATTTTGTATCCTTATATCTTGTCAAGATATTTTCTCTCCCAGGTTTTTAGCAATTTCTGTAGAATATCAATGGCTGTATTTATCATTGTGTTTTACAGTTGTTTCTTCCTGAATTGGTTTTTTTTAAAATTTATTACGCTTTCACTTGTCATCTTTACATTTTTGTGTCGAGATCTCCTTTCTTTGCAATTCTTAAAAAATGGTGTTCATAACGTATTACCATCAGGAAAAGTAGTTCCAATTCACCACACGGAATTCACCTATTTTGTCACAGCTATTGCCCTTACTTTTCAGCATATGAATTTTGTCTGATCAAACAGTTTTCAAGTGATTTTATTCAAGCATGGTACACTTAATCATTTGACTTGATGGTATTTCTATTTAGTATTGTTTGAAAGAGTTATCGCCCTTTAATGTTTCATTATTTTAATCTTCTCTGACGATCTTCTATCTGTTTTTGACTTATTTATTTGAAACTTTGTAGCCTCTATCAATATCTATTAAACACAATAGACAAAATAATCTGATGGATTGCACTTTTAAGTGATATTTTGATCTCATCATTACATGGTGTCAAGAACTGGCTGTAGGAAGTTCAACACAGTATGTAATCCGGTGAAAGTGAGGTCGAGGTTAGTTCACTCCATGTTTTCCGAAGAATGTGCCACAGATCCGACCTTTGATTTAAAAATTTTGGTTCGATCGAAGAGATATTGTTATTATGTCCTGAAGAGTAACGATATTTCCTTGATATGAAAGTCTACACAACGATGTTGTGCATACTCTTATCTAAAATATGTGAGCAATCATTTATCTCATATTTTCGTGTTAACATGACATGGTATGGTTTTGAAGTCATGGCAATATTTGTAAGATCGGTATTGCTTAAATTAAGATGGATTTACATGCTATTAAATTCTTGTCCTCGTCCTCACACCACACAATGATCTGTGTCCTTATACGACACATCAAATTTTGAGTAATAATGGCCATCACAGATAATATTATCAATTCAAAAAGGCAGCATTGCATCTTGATTGATTTGTTTTATCCTACCGCAAAAGAATGGGAGTCTTAAACCTCTGTACGGAGATGCAACCGTGCACATGGGTGCGAAGTGTTTGGTTTGAAAACCCCGAAGTCGGGCCTTAACGTCACTTCTGAAGATTGTTAAGTGGATGCTTTACTACGTTAGAGATAAATTGTTGCTCATTTAAGTCGTATTTAGTTAAAAAAAAACCTGGAGTGAACTAACCTCGACATCACTTTCACCGCTTCAAATCTGCGCACTCGCGTCCAACTTGTCCGCACACTCGAATGTTGGATTACATACGGTGGTTCAAGGTAGGATGATTGACTGGTAGGCCTATAGCGAAGTTAACTTAAACAACAGCATCGTATGAACCAGCCTATCCATGTGTCTAGTGGGGATTGGTAATTGTTTTGTGGTCATGATGCTTAGGTGATTTATTGTAGATATGACTTGAATATGTATCAAACAGGATTTATTTATAAACAACATAGATTGATTTTAACAGAGACATATATAACACGTTATATATGTCTCTGATTTTAATGGCTGGGACATTTATAATGCTTTACAATAATATATGCATTACTGTTAATATATTAACATTAAAAATCATGTGAATAGAAATTAATGAGCAGCAAAAATATACACATGAAACAGTTATATAATTTAATCTGTAATGATAAGTTGTAGGTTGTTCTGCTTTCATCAAAGTTTATAAGTTTCATGATATGACACATAGTGAGCAAGGGGAGGTAACTCTTGTTACCTTATAAACTTAATCAAGGGCCATCACTGTTTTTGTTCCGACATAATCATATCATTTTTATTCTTCGACTGATTTTTAATTTTTGATATTAAAATCTTTTGTTTGAAAAGCATTACCAAGGAAACAAATTTTATCTTGAGAAACTAGAACCGTTATTGAATACATAATTTGATTAAAGATAGGTGAAGACATCAGTTGCTGCCTGTTTTTATATATATCACAGATACCTGTCATAAGTTATTTTCCAGTTGATGAGCTCCATATTAAGACATACATGTATAATCAATATGGAATGAATTTCATTTCATCACAGATTTTTTGAAACAAGTTTTAATTTTTGTTAGCCTTACATTTAAGACGCTTATTTACGTAACTCGGAAAAAATAATTTTGATAGTATTTAAAGTTAAAAAGAATGGAAGAAAATGTCAAATTAATGACCATAATATGACATCACAATGGGTTTCAGACTGGTGCATCCAATGGAAAATGCTCCTAGGCATAATACACTGGATCGCTGGATAACAAGGCAATTATGTGATAGAAATTGAAGTATGTGATATACCAATGTAACACTATAGGGACGTCATCAATACATCACTCAGTAGTCTGTAATTGGTAAATATTCACAATTTGTTCCTTTTATTAGGAAATATTGTTTTGAGAATTTTACTTTTTTACTTAATCTTGATTTAGTGCAAAATTGATTAAACTAAGACTTATGAGATACCAAACAATTTAACTGATTTAACAAGGTTTAGTGATAAGGCGCTGTACAATTTTTAGCCCACCATCAGATGGTGGGGTATTCAAATCGCCCTGCTTCCACGGTCCGTTCGAGGTCCGTCCGTCCGTCCGTAAACAATTCTTGTTACCGCTATTTCTGGAAAAGTACTGGATGGATCTTTCTCAAATTTCATATGCAGGTTCCCCTTGGTCCCTAGCTGTGCATTGGACTGATTTGAATTCAAGATGGCCGACAGGTGGCCATCTTGGATTTTGGAAGTAAACGTTTGTTACCGCTATTTCTTGGAAAGTACTGGATGGATCTTTCTCAAATTTCATATGCATTTTCCCCTTGGTCCCTAGTTGTGCATTGTACCTTTTTTGGACTGATTCGAATTCAAGATGGCCGACAGGTGGCCATCTTGGATTTTGGATGTAAAAGTTTGTTACTGCTATTTCTTGGAATGTACTGGATGGATCTTTCTCAAATTTCATATGCAGGTTCCCTTTGGTTACAAGTTTTGCATTTTACCTTTTTTGGACTGATCAGACAGGCAGCCATCTTGGATTTTGAGAGTAAAATCTTGTTACTGCTATATCTGAGGAAGTACTGGATGGATCCTTCTGATATTTCATAGATATTGGTTTCCCTTGGTCCCTAGTTGTGCTTTGTACCTTTTTTGGACTGATTTGAAATCAAGGTGGCCCACAGGCAGCCATCTTGGATGTCGACAGTAATATAGAACAAGCATATTGTCCATTATCCACCTGTAACTGATTGCTATCTAATAATAATACTTTGGGATCTTTTTCAAATGATATTTGCTAATAGGTGCTTAGTAAAAATATCTTGTGCCATCATGGAGTACATTCAATGAAGACCAGTTCATGAACATTAACAACACCTGTAACAAACAAAAAAAAAAATAAACAAATCTTCAAGAACTGAAAACAGATCCTCAAATGGTGGGCGCCAAGACCCTCTGGGATCTCTTGTTTAATTATCTGTTTGTCCATCTTTTACTCCGTTTATGTGTTTTCACATATTATTTATCAAATTACATGAACTATCTGTTCTGAAATTTATATAAATTTTTTATGGACTACTAGATGTGTATAATCTATGGCTTTGAATCAGCTATCTTGAATTGGAACACTGACCACATACCAGTGTTAAATTGTTTTTGTCTTCCAGACAATATTTTCTGAAGAAATTATCTGACTTTTGTGAAATTTATGTCTAATGTTTCTCTAGGGATTCACAAATGTTCCTCTTGGGATATATAATGGAACCTCATTATCTAGAACTCGTACAACATGAAAGCCTGGGTAATTTGATGTATTTTGTTGGTTCTGACCAAATGTCATACCAAATATTCGAACTTAGTTTAATCAAATACTTGGTAACTCCAAGTTTTCCCAGGGTCCCAATGATATAACAAGGTTTGACTTTATATGTTGGTCAAGTTCCAAAGGTATCTGTGATCTAATTGGCCATTTCAAGTCTGCGCAAAAATCTACTGCAGGAATTAACATACAAACAACCTGCATCACTTCCATTAGGATCTTAGGTTCAGAAAATTCTTCAGATATTTGATGAGGCTGCTTGGATCAGCTTCCACAGGACTTATCTGACCTTGTTACCCCATTCCTTGCACTGGTTCTTTAATCAGCATATTGTGTAGTTATTTCATTAGGATGCTCTTATCTGATTGGCTGATTACATTTTTTTACCTTATTAGGAGATAATAAGATTTTTATGAAACTTGCTCAATGTACTTATATGGTTAGTCTCTTGACTAATCATTTTAGATATTTAGATTGGAAAATTAAAGCTGATTTGAGAATGTAGTGGGCCAACATTTCGAGTATTTGACAGGACTATTTTACTTTGATAAGTTGATGTGCAATAGTGACTTTGTATCATTTCTGGAGGTCATTGTGTAGAAAACCTTGTGGGAAAATTTTGTAGCAGTGTGGCCATAAGCTCAATATTGGGGTTAGACACATAACAAGAATCTTTCTGACATATAAAGTGTTTAAGTTGAAGAATAAATTTGATATATTTTAAAACAATTTTGAAACAAATCTCAACTTCTGTAAATAACTCTGGTTGGTCTGGATGGTTCCGAGTGTGCCAAGGATCTTCCTGTGTGAGGAAACTGGAGTACTACCCAGGGAAAACCCAACTGGTTGGGAAGGTGAGCCTGGACTGTTTCACATCTGTTCCTAGAATATCACTCCAAAAAGGGAATGTGTTACCACCATGCCATCCAATTACCCATAGATTCTAGTTATGGTTATACATATCAGTAATCAGAGTCTGTGTATTGTATGTACCATGCTGTTTCTCGTTGCTTTAGATATTAACGTTATGATATAATTTCTCTCAGAGTCTATTTAATTACATTGTTTCATTATTCCTATTCCTTTATATAAGATAATTCTAATCATGAAGCATGTATGGAGAACTAAAAATCTGAAATTGCAAGCGAGATATTGCATTATAGATTGATGATGTAACATGAGATATGTTTGATTATCAACATCAAAACAAGCATGGAACTCGTTAGAAATATTGTTACACTAATGGTGTGTTGTAATCAATCCATTTGGTGCATTAGTACTTATATTCAACTTCATTGACACGCAAATTAGGGGGCTGCAACAGCTCAGTCAATAAAGTGTTGGTCTATGTTACAACAGAACTGAAGTGCGATGCTCACCCGTGGTGGTTTTGTGTTTCTCGATCAGGAAGCTGAGAAATGAATCAGTCTATTCTGATGTGGTTGTGTGTTCTTATGGGCAATAAACTTGACTCTAATTCCTCTGTATGGCATGTGTTGGGCCTCCTGTATCTTGTTCAATGAGGTAGCCACTGCAGCAGCTGCAAAATGTCCCCACCTCAATATAACCCTGACTGTTCAACCGAGAAATATGCAAAAGCAAACCTGAAATTTTGAAAATGTATTAGATTAAATGGGATGATACCATTATATGGTACATACATTGTTAGTTGATCAGTAAGTAAAATGTATTATACCAGATATCTGATATTACGGGGGTGTTATCATAGGTAATTAATGAATAAAGGGGTTCAAGAAATGAAATCTTTATGGTCCAAGGAAATCAACTTAGAGAATGAAAAAAAAGATCTTGGCTGTCATCTGCACACATGCAAATACTCCTTTCGTTGATTGGTCTGTACTGGTCATATTGTTATGACAACAATCTGGACGAACTCTTCCCTGGGATATTGTGTCCGATTCTTTAGGTTTATTATTCCGTATCAAATTGTATCAGGAAATAGAGATTGCTGTTACTGACAGCGCATGAAATTCCTGGAATTGGTGAAGTGCTCCACAAAAGGTTGGTGCAAGAGGTCTGCTATGTACATGTCACAAGTGTAATTGGATGGATAGTAAGAAAACTTGATATCCTCCATAATATCATTGAGGCACATGGACAGGGTGCTTCAAAGTCCGGACAGATTGTACGATTTACGACGTCCTATTGATCTCGGACAAGAAGTGATTGCTGAGGTTTTTCACTGTGGCACTTTGTTGTATAAGTCTTAGAAGCAGTAATATAGCCAATAAGAGTATTGATTTTACAGTTACTAGAAACTTGAGTTATTAGTAGAAATAGAGAAAGGGACAGGGGAAATGAAGTAAAGAACTGAGCTATCGATTTCTATTTCTTAGGTGTTTTACTGGGACTTTTTTCTCCTCCAATGGTTTTTCTTCAAATTGTCTGTGTACACAAAAAATATATATTGGGTCAAGCAAATGATTTTTTAATTGTCATAATGTGGATAAGTTAATTCTTTACAATAGTTACATACGTACGTGTTAACATTCATTTTAGACTCTGGCTCAATTTAGATACTGTCATTTAAAGACAACTAACCGAAAAGAAGAGCATCAGCATGTTTATTAAAGGGGTATATCGGGGTTTACTTTATGGTTCACCATAAATAAAATTCTTGAAGTAAAAAGGATAATATCTGTTTTTGCATCTTCTTTCATCTCATTTTCTGTACATTACTTTTTATTGTCCCATCTTCTGTTGTCCCATCTTCTGGTGTCTCATCTTCTAATGTCCCATCTTCTGTTGTCCCATCTTCTAGTGTCTCATCTTCTAATGTCCCATCTTCTGTTGTCTTATCTTCTGTTGTCTCATCTTCTGGTGTCTCATCTTCTGGTGTCTCATCTTCTGTTGTCTCATCTTCTGTTGTCTCATCTTCTGGTGTCTCATCTTCTGTTGTCTTATCTTCTGTTGTCTCATCTTCTGGTGTCTCATCTTCTGTTGTCTTATCTTCTGTTGTCTCATCTTCTGGTGTCTCATCTTCTGTTGTTCCATCTTCTGGTGTCTCATCATCTATTGTCCCATCTTCTGGTGTCTCATCTTCTGTTGTCCCATCTTCTGTTGTCCCATCTTCTGGTGTCTCATCTTCTGTTGTCCCATCTTCTGGTGTCTCATCTTCTGTTGTCCCATCTTCTGGTGTCTCATCTTCTGTTGTCCCATCTTCTGGTGTCTCGTCTTCTGTTGTCCCATCTTCTGGTGTCTCATCTTCTGTTGTCCCATCTTCTGGTGTCTCATTTTCTGTTCTCCCATTTTCTCTTGTCACATTTGCTGTTGTCCAATTTTCTCTCATTCTATTTTCTGTTGTCCAATTTTCTCTCATTCTATTTTCTGTTGTCCAATTTTCTCTCATTCTATTTTCTGTTGTTCAATTTTCTGTCATTCTATTTCCTGTTGTCCAATTTCTCTCATCCTATTTCCTGTTGTCCAATTTTCTATTGTCTCATTTTTCTGTTGCCCTATTTTCAGCAGAAACCAGGTCTGTAACATCGTAATTCTGATTTTACATGTTCAGTATATTTAATAGTTCTTGAATAATTGATTTTGATTTACCAAACATTTAAAGGTTAGAATATCTCTTTAATATGTATACAGTTTCTGTAGAATATGTTGTATAGAAAATATGCATGTATTAAAAGATTGAGTGTGTAACCCTTGTTGAATCTTTCCAAGGAGACATCACGTTTGCCTCTATCAGTACAGACTTTCCTAATACATCATTTGTATGGATGATATGCATTTAATAGCTCAGTGTCTGTTATGTTTTCATGCTTCCAGATAAGGTTTGTTTGTCTACGACATAACTTTAATACAACTGTGCCGTGTACAAGATAACATATAATGGTCACTTTAGGGATTTGTTCCAAATGTATTCAAATAGAGCCATCTGTTGTCCAATTTCATGTTGATCTAGGACCTGCCTGTCAGCATTGGGGATATAGATATAGATCTGTGTGTCTGCTGGGAGTAGGTCACTGTTCGGGTACTTATGTCAGGTTACACACACCACAGATCTGTGTGTCTGCTAGGAGTAGGTCATTGTGGGGTACTTATGTCAGGTCACATCCAACAAAGATCCAGGTGTCACTAGGTAGTATGTCATTGTGGAAATATTTATGTTAGATTATGTCCACCAAAGATCCAGGTGTCACTAGGTAGTAGGTCATTGTGGGGTACTTATGTCAGGTCACATCCAACAAAGATCCAGGTGTCACTAGGTAGTATGTCATTGTGGAAATATTTATGTTAGATTATGTCCACCAAAGATCCAGGTGTCACTAGGTAGTAGGTCATTGTGGGGTACTTATGTCAGGTCACATCCAACAAAGATCCAGGTGTCACTAGGTAGTAGGTCATTGTGGGGTACTTATGTCAGGTCACATCCAACAAAGATCCAGGTGACAGTAGGTAGCAGGTCATTGTGGGAATATTTATGTCAGGTTATGTCCACCACAGATCCAGGTGACAGTAGGTAGTAGGTCATTGTGGGGTACATATGTTAGGTCACATACACCAAAGATCCAGGTGACAGTAGGTAGTAGGTCATTGTGGGGTACATATGTTAGGTTACGTCCATCACAGATCTAGGCATCAGTAATGAGTACCATAGATGTAGTTGTCAGCTGGGATAAGGTTGTATCAGGTTGTATCTCCAGGTACATGATGGTATAGAGTTCAGTGATAAAATGAATAAACCTGTGGAGTTTGAAAGAGATCTGTCAAAATCGTAGGGAAATCTGTGGAAAAAATTAAGATTATGAAAATATATAAAGGGGAGTAACTCTACCATAAAACAGTTGAATCAAAATTCTGTTCAGAAATGTTAAATGCATCTTCATGACATGATAATTAAGCCTTCCAAGTTGAATGACATTGTTTGACAACTGTAAGATTAAATTTCTCTATACAAGTAAAAGTTTATGATAGACGGACAGATAATGCCATGTATAATGAATAATGAGTCGTGTCAGACTTTTGACAGATGTTTAATGATGTTATGTTCATTTCCATTTGATATATGAATTATGACGTTAAAAACATATCATTCCTGTAAATAACTATGAAAATTATATTTAGAATGAACTTATATGACCCTAAAAATGAACATGGATATTTTGTGAGATATTTTTATACATAATGGTTATGAAATGCATGTTTGACATGACTAGTAAGCTCATTTTGTGGCACCTGGTAATCTCTGGTCTTTGTGTCACATTGACTTTAACAGCTTCAGTGCAGGATTTGTTAATTATTTAAATATTTGCAGTTTCATGAAAACAAAGCTTGTAGTAGTTGTGTAAAAGGCTTGTGGACCTGTCACAAGTATTGATTCTACCATGACTTGAATAATCAATTATCTCCATTCTGTTATCAGTGTGGATCCTTTGGGTTATCTGTCCATCTGCTTTGACTTGTTACATGGTACTGATGATCAAACAGGTAGATGTCTGTCCATATGTCTGACTTGTTGTAAAGTACTCATGGATGTCTGTCCATCTGACTGAACAATATATACTAATTGTCAAATGGTTGGATGTCTGTCCATCTGTCTGAATTGTCACTATATACTCTTGTCAAATGGTTGGATGTCTGTCCATCTGTCTGATTTGTCACTATTTACTCATTGTCAAATGGTTGTATGTCTGTCCATCTGTCTGACTTGTCACTTATGATGTACTGACTTTCAAGAAGATGTCTGTCTGTCCATTAGTCTGACTTGTCATTATGCACTAGTCATTAAACAGATGGATGTCTGTCCATCTGTCTGACTTGTCATTAGATGTACTGATTGTCAAACAGGTTAAGGGATAGATTGAGTAAGGATTTTATGTTTTTATGATCTCAGTTGGCTTGCCATTGTATCTTCCATCACAATAGATCAATATTTTCAAAGTGGAATGGGATGATGTTTGCATATTTTTGATGAAGTTGTGTTTATGTCAAAAACAGGACAATATTTTGTTTTTCCACTAGGTAAAAAAGCTTTTGGTCTTATATCAGGGGAGAAAATCCAGAGGTTCATTAGATGAAACTTTTCTGAAGGTTGAAAACTAATGACACGATGTAACTTTATAAATCAAACGCTACTGTACAAGGAAGGCATAAGCAAGAATTTTGGCTGAGTATGGAAAGGTTTTTTTTCAATATTTTATAGCAAGTATGATGTGGATTGTTGCAAATTCAAATATGAAATAGACTGCAAACAGAACTGTCCTTTATTTGTTATGCTGAATCTTTTGCAGCCTAAAAAGTTTAGTCATATTCTAGTATGATGAGTGGGGTGCTTGCATTATCTGCATTGGATCTAGTAGATCATTAGACATTTCTCTATCTGTTAAATCAGAATCAAACAGATTTTTCATCTGTTCTGACCAGTGGTGTGTACTGATGATGATGTGTGTCTGTCCATTCAACCACTGATGATGACATGTGTCTGTCCATTCAACCACTGATGATGACCTGTGTCTGTCCATTCAACTACTGATAATGACCTGTGTCTGTCCATTCAACCACTGATGATGGCCTGTGTCTGTCCATTCAACTACTGATAATGGCCTGTGTCTGTCCATTCAACCACTGATGATGGCCTATGTATGTCCATTCAACTACTGATGATGACATGTGTCTGTCCATTCAACTACTGATGATGACATGTGTCTGTCCATTCAACCACTGATGATGACCTGTGTATGTCCATTCAACTACTGATGATGACCTGTGGCTGTCTGTCCAACTACTGATGATGACCAATGTCTGTCCATTCAACTACTGATGATGACCTTTGTCTGTCCATTCAACCACTGATGATGACCTTTGTCTGTCCATTCAACTACTGATGATGACCTGTGTCTGTCTGTCCAACTACTGATGATGACCTATGTCGGTCCATTCAACTACTGATGATGACCTGTGTCTGTCTGCCCAACTACTGATGATGACATGTCAGTCTGTCCAACTACTGATGATGACCTGTGTCTGTCCATTCAACTACTGATGATGACCTGTGTCTGTCCATTCAACCATTGATGATGACCTGTGTCTGTCTGTCCAATTACTGATGATGACCTGTGTCTGTTTATTCAACTACTGATGATACCTGTGTCTGTCTGTCCAATTACTGATGATGACCTGTGTCTGTCCATTCAACCACTGTTGATGACCTGTGTATGTCTGTCCAATTACTGATGATGACCTATGTCTGTGTGTCTAATTACTGTTTGTCCACATGTAGCATCCAAACTGATAATGATATATGGTGTCTGTCTTGCCATTTGCACTGGTTATGACATGTTTCAGTCCATCTGTACATGTATCTGTCATTAGTGTAAGATGAAAATTATTTTCTTGTGTCTTAAATAATGATGTTATGTTTGCTTGCTCTCTGCTCATAGATTTTGAATTAAAAAGATATTTCACTATTTGAACTTTTTTCAGCAAAACCTCGTAGATCAATTAGAACAAATAAGATGTAGGATATTGGATGATATACATTATCATAAACATCAAATTTGGCAGTGAAAATTATGTAAATTTAATATCAAATTCACATTAAAATCCAGTAGTGGTTTTGAAGCTTTTGTTCAATGGAAAAATGTCCTTGGTATTTATCTAATAAATTCATTAGAAATGTAAGAATAAATGATAATTAAATGTGGTTGATGATAAGCGTCTCTCTTCTTTAATTTTCAAGTATGCTACACTATACTGCCTGATGGGGGCGCCTCCCTTGGCCATCAGTGCAGGCAACATGGTATATATTCCATTAATTAACATCATAATTGCATATTGCGCATAGTTGTGTCTGACTAAACATGATCGCTATATAGAGCATACGTTAAGGCATCAGGCTATGGATGCACACACACTTATAAGAGGTGGAAGCGTTTGAGAGTTTGGCTCTGTTCTCAGTGGTACAGGGAGGAGTGGAGGTGAGGAAAGGGGCTACAGGAAATGAGAAGTTAATACATTAATTCTCTTGTGTTGATGTGGAAGTCTTTGGTTTAACTGCTCTTCATTTATGTTGTATGCAGATTTATTTATACTGCTGGCTATTTTTGGCAGATAGATTTCTCAGGAGTTACAGAGAATTCACACCAGTAAAACATGATAATGTACATACCCGATATCTCCAAGGATCCAATTATACTGACAAAACTCTTATCATAAACACCAGTACATGCTCATAGCACTTGGTTCTTAAACAATATTCAAAGTTCAACATTTTTCTCTTTTTAATCTTTTATTTTTTGCCAAATTCATTATATACATGTTGTATACATGTGTTAGATTTATGAAATTAAATACTGTACAAACATTAATTTTGGTGGGAGATTTATTTTTATTGATTTTGTG